TTTTCCATAAAATTTCATACTTTTTGTTTTATTAACTTCACAAGATGATTCTCTACCATTTCATAATAAAATATACAAAATTTTTTGGGAAAATTCTTCGATGCTGTGGACAGGTTTCAGATCAGGGGTCTGCAAAATGAAAGAGCTAAATCACAAATGCGTATTGTGTCCAAAATTTATGAGGGTATATCTTAACGCAGAATAATCTTAACTACAGCTCATCATAACTCACGAAGGACCATTGTACATTATGTAACACTTCTCATACGCCTGCTAGTGTCCAGCCTCATACACAAAACCTCCACCTTTCCTAGGGCAACCCATACTTGCCTTAATTCCACTTACAGATTTATACACCCACCAAGTCCTCCTGTTCTCCTCCAGCATCTCTTAAATGTTCAAATCCACCTAAATCTCCTCCTCAGCCCTTTGTATAATACTTGTAGTAAATCCAACATCTTCCGTAATCTCCAATCCTATGAAATCTGCAAATATTTACGCCAATTTAAGAGACAGGAGAAATGTATAACAAAGGGAGAGGAAGTGTAGGGTGAATATAAGCAACTATTGACAGGAAAGTGGGCTGGTGCAAGCTATGAGAAGTGTGGGGGATTGAAGAGGGTTGGAATAGTTTTAAAAAATGCAGAATTAGAATGTGGGCAGAAGTTTGTGGTCAATAAGGTGGGTGCAGAGGAAATAGGAGTGATTGGTGGAAATGATTAATAAGGGTGTGATAAAAGAGGAAAAAGGTAGCTATGAGAGATTTTAACAGAGTAATGAAGTGTTAAAAGAGAGTAAGTATATGGGGAGTAATAAGAAAAGGGGAGGGAGAAAGTGGTGAAGAGTGCAAAAGGAGTAGCAATGATAGAGTGGGAGAGGCATGTTAAGAAATTTTAATGAAAACAAGTAAAAAATTTGAGATAAACAATTAAGGAAAGCCTAGAGAAGTAATGGATTTGTCAGGTTAAAAGCGAGTAGGGGAGTTAGTTACGATGGGGAATGGAGTATGTGGATGCGGGATATTTTGAGGAACTTTTAAAGGTCGACAAATAAAGGGACGCGATCATTTCATGCACTGGCCAGGGAGGTATACCATCTTTTAGGAGTGAAGAAGAGCAGGATGTGAGTGTGGGGGAGGTGCGTGAGGCATTACGAAGAATGAAAGGGGTAAAGCAGCTGAAACTGACGGGATTGTGAAAGAAATGTTAAAAGCAGGGGGGGGGGGATATAGTGTTGGAGTGGTTGGTATTTTTGTTTAACAAATGTATGGAAGAGGGGAAGGTACCTAGGGATTGGTAGAGAGCATGTATAATTCCTTTATATAAAGGGAAGGGAGACAAAAGAGATTGTAAAAATTATAGGGGAATAAGTTTACTGAGTATACCAGAAAAAGTGTATGGTGGGGTTATTATTGAAAGAATTAAGAGGCAGGACAGAATGTAGGATTGCAGATGAGCAAGGAGGTTTTAGAGTGGGTAGGGGATGTGTAGACTGAAGTGTTTACATTGAAGTATATATATTATATTTTTATATTATCACACTGGCCGATTCCCACCAAGGCAGGGTGGCCCGAAAAAGAAAAACTTTCACCATCATTCACTCCATCACTGTCTTGCCAGAAGGGTGCTTTACACTACAGTTTTTAAACTGCAACATTAACACCCCTCCTTCAGAGTGCAGGCACTGTACTTCCCATCTCCAGGACTTAAGTCCGGCCTGACGGTTTCCCTGAACCCCTTCATAAATGTTACTTTGCTCACACTCCAACAGCACGTCAAGTATTAAAAACCATTTGTCTCCATTCACTCCTATCAAACACGCTCACGCACGCCTGCTGGAAGTCCAAGCCCCTCGCACACAAAAACCTCCCTTTACCCCCTCCCTCCAACCTTTCCTAGGCCGACCCCTACCCCGCCTTCCCTTTCCCCTACAGACTGTACACTCTTGAAGTTTTTCTGTTTCGCTCCCCATTCTCTCCACATGTCCGAACCACCTCAACAACCTTCCTCAGCCCTCTGGACAACAGTTTTTTGGGAATCCCGCACCTCCCCTAACTTCCAACTACGAATCTTTGCCCTTATATTCACACCACACACTGCTCTCAGACATGACATCTCCACTGCCTCCACCTTCTCCTCGCTGCAACATTCATCACCCATGCTTCACCCCATATAAGACGTTGGTAAAACTATATCTCATACATTCCCCTCTTTGCCTCCAAGGACAAAGTTCTTTGTCTCCACAGACTCCTAAATGCACCACTCACCCCTTTTCCCCTCATAAATTCTATGATTCACCTCACCCTTTCCCATAGACCCATCCCTGACACGTCCACTCCCAAATATTGAATACATTCACCTCCTCCATACTCTCTCCCTCCAATCTGATATCCAATCTTTCATCCCCTAATCTTTTTGTTATCCTCATAACCTTACTCTTTCCTGTATTCACTTTCAATTTTCTTCTTTTGCAAACCCTACCAAATTCATCCACCAATCTCTGCAACTTCTCTTTAGAATCTCCCAAGAGCACAGTGTCCCTCAGCAAAGAGCAACTGTGACAACTCCCACTTTTATGTGTGATTCTTTATCTTTTAACTCCAAAGCCTCTTGCCAAGACCCTCGCATTTACTTCTCTTACAACCCCATCTATAAATATATTAAACAACCACGGTGACATCACACATCCTTGTCTAAGGCCTACTTTTACTGGGAAATAATTTCCCTCTTTCCTACATACTCTAACTTGAGCCTCACTATCCTCGTAAAAACTCTTCACTGCTTTCAGTAACCTACCTCCTACACCAACACCCGCAACATCTGCCACATTGCCCCCCTATCCACCCTGTCCATACGCCTTTTCCAAATCCATAAATGCCACAAAGACCTCTTTAGCCTTATCTAAATACTGTTCACTTATATGTTTCACTGTAAACACCTGGTCCACACACCCCCTACCTTCCTAAAGCCTCCTTGTTCATCTGCTAAACCTATTCTCAGTCTTACTTTTATTCTTTCAATAATAACCTACCTACACTTTACCAGGTATACTCAACAGACTTATCCCCTATAATTTTTGCACTCTCTTTTGTCTCCCTTTGCCTTTTTACAAAGGAACTATGCATGCTCTCGCCAATCCCTAGGTAACCCTTTCCCTCTTCCATACATTTATTGATAATTGCACCAACCACTCCAAAACTATATCCCCCCCTGCTTTAACATTTCTACTTTATCCCCTCAATCCGGCTGCCTTACCCCCTTTCATTTTACCTACTGCCTCAAGAACTTCCCCACACTCACAACTGGCTCTTCTCAGTTTCCCACAAGATGTTATTCCTCCTTGCCCTATACACGAAATCACAGCTTCCCTATCTTCATCAACATTTAACAATTCCTCAAATATTCCCCCCATCTTCCCCAAAAAATTTTAAAAAAAAAATTTTTTTTTTAAAAAAAAAAAAAATTTTTTAAAAAAAATTTTTTTTTTTTAAAAAAGGGAAAACCCCCAAAAAAACCCCCCCCCCCAAACCCCTTTTAATTTTAAAAAAAAAAAAAGGGGGGGGGGGGGGGGGAAAAAAAAAAAAAAACCCCTAAAAAAATTTAAAATTTAAAAAATTTTTTAAAAAAAAAATTTTTAAAAATTTTTTAATTTTTAAAATTTTTTTTTCCCCCTTTTTAAAAAATTTAAAATTTTTTTTTTAAAAAAATTTTTAAAAAATTTTTTTTTAAAAAATTTTCCCAAAAAAAAAAAATTTTTTTTAAAACCCCCTTGGGGGGAAACTTTTGGAAAAAACCCAAAAAAAATTTTTCCCCTTTTCCTTTTTTGGGGGGGGGAAAAATTTTAAAAAAAAAAATTTTTTTGGGAAATTGGGAAAAAAGGGGGGTAAAAAAAAAAAAAAAAGGGGGGGGTTTTTGGGGGTTTTTTTAAGAGAAGGGGTCAAAAAAAATTTACATGGAAAAAAAATCAAAAGGGAAGGGAAAGGGGGGTAGGGTCGTCCTCGAAAGGGTTGGAGAGAGGGGGGAAAGGAGGGTTTTTTGGGAAGGGGCTTGGACTTTTCCCCAAGGTGCTGACGTGTTAGATGGGGTGAAAGGGGCGAATGAAATTGGGACCTGACGATCTGTTTGGGGTTTTGAGCAGGGTAATATTTTGGAAGGGGTTCGGGAAAAACCGGGGGGGATTTTTAAAATAGTCCGGGCTTGAGTCCCGGAAAATGGGGAATTCAATGCCTGCCCTTTAAGGGGGGTTTGGGATATTGGCAGTTTGGAGGATTGTTTTGTTTTTTTAAGTTTTTTGCTTCTAAACTGTTTTTTCCCGACCACCTCTGCAAAAACAGTGATAGTGTGCGAGTGTGGTAAAAGTGTTGAATGATGATGAAAGTGTTTTCTTCTTTGGGGATTTTCTTTCTTTTTTTTTTTGAGTCACCCTGCCTCGGTGGGAGGCTGCCGACTTGTTGAAATATATAAATATATATTATATATATAATATATATATAATATATATTAATATATTATATTTATATATATATATATTATAATATATATTATATATATATATATAATATATATAAAATAATATATATATTTTTTTTTTTTTTTTTTTAAACAAGTCGGCCGTCTCCCACCGAGGCAGGGTGCCCCAAAAAAAAAGAAAGAAAAATAATATATATATTTTATATAATATATATAATATTATATATATATATATAATATTACACACACACACACACGTCAGAAACAGTCAAAGGGTTAAAACAATAAGCAAGTGTGGTTAATTTCCTTATACCAAAATAAACTGATTAAAGTAATTTCTGAAATTAGGTCTGGCAAATGGTTAAACTGATTAAAAAATTCAACTACTACTATTTTCTGCCCTCACTTTTTTTTCATCTTTTATTAGTAAAGTAAGACCTTCATTAATTTCTTTTAAAACATGTACCCAGCAATTAAATACAGAAAGAAAATACAAATAAAATACACTAGTAAAGTAAAGCACTTGATTACCTTAAAGTCGTTAATGCCATTCTTGCCTAATCGATATTCTGAAGCACATATAAGTTGCCTCATAAGCTCTTTCGCTTCTTCGCTTACATCATAGCCTAGATCAGTTGGAAAATCAAAACAATTCTGAAAACATTTCAAATCATCCAATTAGTAATGACATCAACACAAATAAAATTTTTATTAGTAAATAACCATGTCATATAAGAATAGAAAAGATTACATAAGAGTCTGCAATAAGAGGCCAAAATTAAAAATACAGATGACTTACATCCCACTATATCACACAGCTTCCGACACAGTTACAAATTTAACATTCAATAGGTGCACTGCTTAAACCTAGAAATTACTGCCAATAATGTAGGCAGCACATATGAAACAAAAATCTAACAAGAAGATGGAGTGTCATCTTAACTGAGATGTTAGGGTGTTTCTGCAAGACAGTGATTGAATGAATGATCATGAACATTTCCGCTTATATGGATCACCTTTACCTCAGCGGGAGATAGCCCATGTTTAAAAAATGAAGGAAAATAAACACTTATAAATGGAAGGACTCTCCACAATAGTCATGAAAAATTTTAGCACACTAACAGTGACCCCCAAAATAAGGAAACAGCGAGGACAGAAATAATGAACACAGACTGGTCACTTATCCAGATACAAGAAAAACCACTTAAAAAGTAAACAATATAAGCAAAAGTTTTTTAACACACTGGCCATCTGCCACTGAGGCAGGGTGGCCACAAAAAGAAGAAACACTTTCACCATCAATCATTCAGTCATTATTTTGTTAGTAGCATGCTGACATCACAATTCAGATAGCGCTACAAACTGCAATATCTCCCCACACCACCTTCAGTGTGCAGGCAAAGCACTTTCCACCTCCAGTAGTCAAGTCCAAGTAACCTGCTTCCATGTCCATAAATTTACCCTACTTGTGCTCCAATAGCACATTACAGTGGAACCTCAAATTTTGAAAGTTTCGCTTATCGAACTCTTTGAAAATCGACCACTTTTTTCGAACTAACTTTGTCCCTATTATCGAACTCATCCCTTCTTTCGAACCGCCGGGTACCGGACCAGTCCGCCAGCCCACTCTGTCCACGTCCCCGCGCAGGCACCGTGAGCCAGTCTGGCTTTGTTGATGCTTGAGTGAACACTAACCTGTGGTCTCATTCAAACATTTTACAATTAATTTATTGTGTTTAGTGCTTGTGGGACTGTGAAATAAGCTACCATGGGCCCAAAGAAACTTGCTAGTGGTACCCCTGTGGTAAAGAAAGATTAAGATTAAGATTAAGGAGATTTGCACCAAGTGGAATGATGTCCAAATGTTTGTGGAGAAGTACCACCCTGAGCAAGCTGAAACAAGCCATCTTTGCAACAAGTTCACTTACAGAACCATGTCCCATTTTAGGGAAATCTTAAAGAGGTGCCAGAAAGAGGACTGTGGACAGTTATTTTGTGAGACAGGGGTCCAGTGACTCTGAAGCTGGTCCTAGTGGCATTAAAAGACAGAGAAGGAAAGTAACCCCAGAGAGGGCCTTGATATCTGAAGTCTTTATGGAGGGGGATTCCCCTTCCAAACCCTAACCCCAACTCGCTCTCTCCTCCTCCCTATCTTCCAGATGCCATAACCAATCTTCAATAAAGGTAAGTAAAAATGTTATTTTATACATTTACTTAAATTTATAAATAATTGTACACTATATTTGTTGTGCATATGTAAAACTATAATGTAATACTATCTATAAAATGCATTTTTTTGTGAATATTTTTGGGTTTCTGGAAGGGATTAACTGTATTTTCATTATTTCTTATGGGAAATATTGCTTCGCCTTTCAAACTTTTCAACTTTAGAACTAGCTCCTGGAACGTATTAAGTTCGAAATTTGAGGTTCCACTGTATTCCGGTAGACCAAATTCTTAGCTATTTCACTAATATTACTTCTATTTTATCGATTGAGCACAAGAAATTGCCCAGTCAACTGTTCCAACTACCCAATAAAATGATCGTAAATTGGTAATTTGGCCAATTTAACAAAAAGTTAAAAATATTCCAAATTCAAAATAGGGTCCATTTCGATATTTTATTCACACCAAAAAAAAGAAGATTTACTGTTATGAAATATGTGTACAGTGAAACCTCTACTCGAGAGTTTAATCCATTCCATGACCTTGCTCGCAACTGGATTTGCTCGTTTGCAGAGTCAATTTTCCTCATTTAAATTAATTGAAATGAAATTAATTCGTTCCAGTGGAAATCTGCACTTCAATAATTTCGCTAATATCAACTCTACGGCTTATTTATCTATCTCACTTCATCTAATATGACATAATAAACAATATAAATAACATACAAACCTGACATATACTCGAAAATTAATAAAATATGTCATTCATGTAGTGGTATGGGCAGTGTCGGCGGTGGACAAGAGTTTGTCTGGAGACCGGGCAAAATACTTCATGAATAATTTTGCAAATATCATCTATACGGCTTATTTATCTATCACAGTTCATCTAGTATGACATAACAAGCAATATGAATAACATAGAAACATGATATATACTCTAGAATGAATAAAATATGTCATTCATGTAGTGGTATGGGCAGTGTCGGTGGTGGAGGAGAATTTGTCTGGAGACCGGGCAAAATACTTCATGAATAATTTTGCAAATATCATCTATATGGCTTATTTATATATCACAGTTCATCTAATATGACATAACAGACAATATAAATAACATAGAAACATGATATATACTCTAGAATGAATAAAATATGTCATTATGTAACAGGTGGAGGCGGCCACAACCGCTCCCTTTCTGTTGTGGTAAACACTGCCATCTAGTGACGGCCTTTTGAAGCCGTCTATTATTATAATTATTATATGTAGTACATATTATATATGTATCATTATTATACATATATTATTATTATATATATTATTATTATATATATTATTATTATAGGTAGTAGGTTGGTAGACAGCAACCACCCAGGGAGGTACTACCGTCCTGCCAAGTGAGTGTAAAACGAAAGCCTGTGATTGTTTTACATGATGGTAGGATTGCTGGTGTCTTTTGTCTGTCTCATAAATATGCAAGATTACAGGCATGTCTTGATACTTCTACTTACACTTAGGTCACACTACACATACATGTACATGTTTATTTATACACACTCATCTGAGTTTTCTTTGATTTTATCTTAATAGTTCTTGGTCTTATTACTTTTCCTTTTACAGTGGTCCCTCAATAATCGTCCATAATCCGTTCCTGGAAGTGGGACTATTGTGGAAATGGACGATTTTCGAATCAATTTTCCCCATAAGAAATAATGTAAATCCAATTAATTTGTTCCAGACACCCAGAAGTATCAACAACAATTTTTTTTTACCTAAAAGATAGATTTACATGCACAAAAGAATGAACATTCAACATGACAGTTACCTTTATTGAAGGCTGATGTTTATGAATGGAAGACAGGGAGGAGGAGAGAGGGAGGGGAGGTTATTTGGAAGGGGAATCCCCCCTCCGTAAGGACTCTAGGGCACTAATAAAATGTATAAATCAACATTGGTAATCAGGGTGGTTGATGAGTGGAACGGTCTGCCTAGTAGGGTGATCGAAGCTAAAACATTGGGTAGTTTCAAATTTAGGTTGGATAAATACACGAGTGAAAGGGGTTGGATTTGAGTCGGACTTGCACCTGAGTTTATTGCTTGGGTAGCATTTGTTCTGTTAGTGGGTTGGATTTGTGAAGGACCGGCCTAGTATGGGCCAGCAGGCCTGTTCCAGTGTTCCTACTTTCTTAAGTTCTTATTTAACATCACACTTACCAGTAGGGCGATCGAGGCTAGGACCTTGGGTAGCTTTAAGAAGAGATTGGACAAATACACGAGTTGGAGGAGCTGAGTTAGATTTGTGTCATTGGGTACGGGAGTAAATTCTTGGGTAGCTTTGGGTAGAGGTCATTTTGATAAGGACCTGCCTTTTATGGGCCAGTAGACCTGCAGTGTTCTTCCATTGTTATGTTCTTACGTTTCGCCATCCAGTGGCTTTATCAATACAAATTCTAGGACATAACTTGAAGACAGTAGGACTATGTACAGAAGATGAGGTAATCAGTCCCTCAACCTTGGAGTAGGTGCGAAGAGCACCATAGTCGTGGAGATTCTGAAGCAGAAGCAAGGAGCCTGGCACTTATATAGTAACGTCAGGTGTAGCAGACGAAGGCATAGTCACTGGTAGGCGGGATTCCCCAGTGGAAATAGGTCCTTTCCAAAGAGATGGGTTAGTTGTAGTAGTAGTTGTCGTAGTCGTGAAGGTTATGTAACATGTCCTCAGAATCAAGATTCCATGATGTTGATTCTGAGGACATGTACATAACCTTCATGACTACGACAACTACAACTAACCCATCTCTTTGGGAAGGACCTACTTCCACTGGGGAATCCCGCCTACCAGTGACTATGCCTTCGTCTGCTACACCTGACGTTACTATATAAGTGCCAGGCTCCTTGCTTCTGCTTCAGAATCTCCACGACTATGGTGCTCTTCGCACCTACTCCAAGGTTGAGGGACTGATTACCTCATCTTCTGTACATAGTCCTACTGTCTTCAAGTTATGTCCTATGATTTGAATTGGTAAAGCTCAATGATACCCAGATGTTGCACATGTGTCTTAATTTCTTCTTATTGGCTATTTGTTTGTGTGAGGGAGGGATGGCAAGTTTATTATTGGAGAATATGACACTAATATCAACTCTATGACTTATTTATCTATCACAATTCAACTAATATGACATAATAAACAATATTAGTAACATAGAAACATGGAATATACAGTGGACCCCCGCATAACGATTACCTCCGAATGCGACCAATTATGTAAGTGTATTTATGTAAGTGCGTTTGTACGTGTATGTTTGGGGGTCTGAAATGGACTAATCTACTTCACAATATTTCTTATGGGAACAAATTCGGTCAGTACTGGCACCTGAACATACTTCTGGAGTGAAAAAATATCGTTAACCGAGGGTCCACTGTACTCTAGAATTAATAAAATAAGTCATTACGTATGTCACAAGAGGTGTTTTGTTGTGTTGTTGTTGGGTATA